ATTTGCTTATTGTTCGCCTTTTGGCTCCATTTTGCCTTCAGCTCGCCGCTTTCTCCTCGTTTTCTCCCCGCTTCGGTGTCAAACATGCAAAACATCACACAGAAATTTAAAGTTTTCTTGCGAAATTAATAGACAAAATGCGTCCCCTTGATTCCTCCCGAAAAAAAAGGAAATGGAAAAATTTTGGGTGGGGGATGAGGAGATAGGGAAATAGGCCTGCTGTCGCTGTCACATGTTGTCATATATGCGGAACAATAAAAGAAAGCAGCAGGCGGCGGTGGCGAAGGATATAGTAAGTAGGAGAAAAGTTGGCAAAAATCGCTTGCGTGATTCCATTGAAAGTTTATGACGGCAAATAAATGACAACAGCAATCTGAAAGTCGGTGGTCGTAAAAAAAGATGAACGGCAAACTGTCGCGAAATAAATCGCTGCTGACGTCGTCACTTCGTCCCGCCCCCTTTATTTTTCTATAGCTATAACCATAACTATATGCACATATATATATATATACGCCATACACCATACGCCATACACCATACACCTATTTCTTACAAATTTTTGTCGCAGCGCTCAATAAATAAGTAAATGCAGGCCGTAAAGACAAAGACAAAGGTGAGAGTCCAGGTGAGAAAGGTGAGAAAGTCAGGTCTGCGACTTCGGTGACGTCAGTGTTTGTATGGTGAAAGAGGTGGAAAGGGGGTGAAAGGGGTACAGGGGGGCTGTAAGGTTCATCAACAGGGCCTAATGGATTTTTTTTAGCCATCTATAGCCTGCAGTGGCGACCTTCGCGTCAAAGGAGGGTGGGTGCTGGTTGCTGGTTGCTGGCTTTTCACATTATGCATGCAGCTGCCGCAAGTAGCAACTACCAGTAGGCAGGAAAGGCAGGAAAAGCTGGAAAAGCGAGGCAAAACCAGAAGCCGCAGAAGACGAAGCACGTGCAACTTTTACTTTCATTCGCTTTGTGTTCGTTTCGTGCTTCGATTTGCCGGCGAGTTCAAGGTCGCTGCCGCAGGGGGGTGGTGGGTGCCTTTGCCTTTGCCTTTGCCTTTGCCTTTGCCTTTGCCACTGGTGCCTCCACTAATTGGTGGCCCTTGCGGTAAAGTTGTGTGCGATACGAGACGAGACGAGACGAGACGCGACGCGGTTCTTCGTACTGCAGTTTTTAAGTGAACCTTTTTCGTAGCCTACTTCTCGGCGTCCCAAGGAAAATCCATTTTCTTTTTGTGCCAAAAACCGGTGCAAATTTGAACACGTTTATGCAGCCAAATAATTAGCTGGACCAGCTGGTAAACACGAGACAAGGCAATCCGTTTAATTAAATTGCATTCTCAAAGTTCTTTGACTTTCTTGACTTTGTTTACCATTTAAAAAAAAAACAACGTTTGTGCTTCAAATGTCTTCCCTACTTTTTTAAGCAGAAATGACCTCTAAATAAATATAAGTTTCAAAGATTTATTCAATTTAACAACTTAATTGACCATTCAAATATGTTAAATGCCTTTTCGACTTTTTAAAAAGAAAATATATATCAATTAAATTTTGGAAATACAACACATGTTTTTTTTTATAATTTTTATAAAGGACAAAAGAGCATTTAAGCTGCTTGATATTAAAATTATAACTGATTTTTTATAAACATAAAATATGCTTTTAATTTAGCTTGCATAAAATCTTGGCTTATGTTTACTTAAGAAAACTGAAACTATTTTGTTTATAAAATTGTCATATAAAAAACTTTCTGCCTAATACGCCACTTGATGTTATTTAATTGCGTAACCATTTTCAATTGCTTTGGAATAAGCCAGAGAATTATTCAGCAAAAAAAAAACAGAGCAATTGAGCACAACTGGCATCGAATAATTAATAATTACCCCGTCATTAGGCGGAGGCATAAGAAATCACAAATAAAAATGCAAATCACTTGGCGTTGGACCCACTCACTCAGTCAATTGCAGTGGGTCGAATGATATTGCTTTGTCCTCGCAAATAGCCTTTACACTTGGCCCAAAAAAAAAAAAAAAAACATTAAAAAAAAATGGAAAAGGGAGAAACAAATAAGTTGCGAGTGGCCAACTCAATGAGTTCGCCTCCCAGTTCGCTTATCGCTGTGCAAGGATCGCCACAAAGGCCATGTTACGAAATTATTGGACACACACACACACTCGCACCCACACACACACACGCACACCAAGGGAAAAGAAAGTCGCATGTGTGTGAGAGGGACATGCAATGCAAATAGTCAACACGCCGCCACATGCCGTGCACACAAATCAAGGGCAACATGTCTCATTCCGGGTCTGTTCCCACGTTTTGGGCAGACAAAGGGAAGGGGGATGGGGAGGTGGAGGGGCACGGACTGGTGGGTGGTGGATGGTGGATGGTCGGTGGGTAGCCAGTGAGGGTGGCGAGGTCGCCTTGCCGGGCAATTTAAATGGCGGCTACATGTCGCAGCTCTGGCGTCGCGTGTTCTTGCTCTCACTCAACCCCACACCGAAATCACTCTGCCGCTACACTGTCAAAAATTATGACGCACCGCCAAACAGAATCAATTTTGAAAAATGTAATTTGTGATAAATTTTCATATTTTTAACAAGGGGTTTTCTAATTTTTTGTGATATTTTGCAAAAATTGAACATTTTTAACTGTCTATGCCATTTGATTGGAAATTTTATTACAAGTTCACCGATGTATGGCATTCCAACTTTTGAACATTACTTCCCAGGGTTTTCGTTTAAAAAAAAATCGAAAAATTTGTTTTTCATTTTTCGCAAGGGGTTACATCACGACTTTTTGCAAAAATGAACCACAAGTGAAATTTTGTTGCTGTGAATGTCAATCGATGGGAAACTTTTCCATTGTTATTGACTTATTTTATTTTATTATTTTGGAAACATTTGAAATAATATTTAAAATATTGTTTGCTTTAAAATTGGATTTAAATTTGCATGTATATACCATACTCCATTGTTTTCGTCATCAACAAAATAAAGTTAGTTCTTAGAAAATGGTTAGATATGCATCTTGGCGGATATTTAAATGGCAAACCCATATTTTCAATTAACAATGAGACGACCAGTTGGGCGATATTTTTTCTCTCAGTGCTGGCTTTTTTTTGTCGCCCACGTGTTGGCCACTAAAAAGGGGGATAGGCACCAGCAATGAGCGAATGTGTGTGCCTTGCCAATTAACTGAAACTGCAGAGTAATGTTTGGGGCCAAGTCAGTACTCCCGATTTCAACCCACTCCCACTCCCACTCCCTGACATAACCACCCCTCCCCCCACCCTTTTCATTATAATATTCGCTTTGTGTTATTGTTTTCTTGTTGCTGTTTTGCTGTTTCGCCGTTTGTTGTTTGTCGCTTCTGGCATTGACATAAATTCCTTTTTAGCAGCGAAAAAAAGCAGAGCAACAAAGGGCACAGCTCACAGCGACACGCAAGCCACATTAAAGCAATTCCGCACAGCCCATTCCAGGGCCCGAAAGCCAAGGCATTACATAAAGAGTCGGTAAATATATGACAAAATAGGCCAAAGTTCCGAGTCAAAATCGTCAAGAGAAGTGGGAAACAGCTGCCACAGATCCTTGAGTTGAGAGCTGAGAGTAAACTTTGATTTGTGCTGACCTACGGCAATTAACAAACCGCTTACAAATTCCGCTATTTGCTCCACCTCGGTGGCGTATACGTAACGCGGCCTGGCAGACAGGATAACTCAAGGGACGCAAGGGATGGCAAGATCTGGGCAGGACACTGACTTATGCCGGCTCCAGTTAGTCGCACAGATGACTACGCATTTATTTCTCGCCTTTTGCCCCCTTGCCACCCAAAAACTTTTCAGTACTTGTTTTTTGCTCCCAGAGTTCTCCATTTCTATATATGTATATGTTTTTTTTTTATTTTTGGTCAGAGTTTGGAGCTGGCGCCGTCTACTGTCTGTTGATTCAGATTCGGTTATAGATTCTGGATTCGTTTACGGTTTCTGTGTCTGACTTTCGGGCATTGACTTGGCGGCAACTTGGCTCTGTCTCTGACCCCAAGCAAAAAAGTTACTACTTTTCATTCGTTTTTTTTTTTTTTTTTTTTGGTGGTTTTTTTGTTGCTTTTTGACATTTTCCCTCTGCTACGGACATTACGCATTCGTCCTGTGGGACAGGAAAATCTCTGTGAACAAGCTGATTACACCCATGTGACACTTGCGCACAATTGTTGGGAAGTAAAAATTAGCGGGAGATTAGTATTTTCATATAAAACCAAGGTGCCACAGTAAATCTCATTAGATTTTAGTCTTTGGCTTATGCATTTAAATATTTATCAAATTGTCAGAATATACGCAACTTAAAAGTAATCTCTTTACAATATAATCAACGAAAGCAATATTAAAACGCATGTTTAAAATATTTCAATAATATATATTAAAATTAAATATTTATAATTTGTAAGTCTCTGAATTTTCATGCAATTAAACAATTTATACATTTTCCGATACTGTCCAAAATATTTTACACAAAAAATTCTAATAAGTTCTAAAAAATTAGGCAATTAATAATAATTAAGAAATAGTTAAATAGACATATAAAAAAAATCTTAATGAGTTACTGTGCCATTTCGTAACAGCCTCAGCAGATGATTTCATTTAAAACACTTTCTTAATACTAAATACCTCAAAATTTTGCATAAACCCCTTGTCACATGGGCATTTAATCAAATTTGTAGGTGCTTGAAGGCATGGAGAATCAACAAGGCGAAAAAGCATTGAAAAGCGATAAGCAAAGCGGTATTCAAAACTAATTTAAACAAACTATGTATTTGCAGGTATTCTTCTTGATCATTTTATTCAAATCATTACAAGCAAGAAAATCAAATAAACGGCAGCGCTAAATCAAATGGTAAGAGAAGCACTTTTTTGCTGCATAAATTTCATTAATTTGTTCTTATTTTCGGTTTCATAGAGGTGAGGCTTAAGAGCGGTGGGTGCTTTTGGATTTGTGGTGATGGGTACTTCTCATAGGGGTTCTCCGGTCCCTTGTCCTTCTTCTTGCTACTCGCCGGTGTGCTCTTCCGTGGCCGATTCATCATGGGATCGTCCATGGTGCGTGACGATTGCTGTCGCGTATGGGCCGGTGGTCCAGGCGGTTTCTTTTTCTTCTTTTTACCAGCCTCTGGCTGCAGGGGATTAAAGGCGAACTGCAGATGCTGCTGAGGATATTGCTGTTGTTGCTGATGTTGCTGCTGTTGCTGTTGTTGCTGTTGTTGCTGCTGCTCACGACGCTCCAGAAAAGCAGCATTTGCCGAGGCCACCGTGGCAATGCGCTGCTGCTGCTCCAGATCTTCCAACTCCTTTTCTCGTTTCTTGGTCATCTGGACTATCTGCGAACTGCGCCGTCGGAGGGCGGCTGCATAGGGTGTGGGCGTGGCCACGGGCGGCACCATCTCACCCACGCCAAATAGCCGTCTTATGCGACGCCGGCTGTTGATGAAGCCCAGTCCCAGCTGGACACCCAATCCCAATCCCGTCACCGTTCCCACCGGTGCCGTCGTCTGGCTGAGGGAACTGCTGGCCCCGCCCTCGCTGCCAGCGCCCAGCATCTGGCTGAAATTGCTGTCCAGGTCGCAGCTGCTGGCCGAATCGACGCCACAGGGAAAGAGATATGTGTTCAGGGTGCTCAGGGTGGTGGATGTGGAGGTGCCAGTGCCAGTGCCAGTGCCAGTGCCCGTCAAAGTGCCAATCCGACTGATTGCTCCCGTGTTGCTGCCGCCCAATGGATGTTGCTGCTGCTGGGGCTCAAGAGTGGCTGCTGTTGCTGTTGCTGTTGCTGCTGTCGCTGGCAATGGCTGGTGTTGCAGGTTGAGCGGCAGACTAATCACAGCCGTGGATCCGCTGGCGCTGCCGGTGGTGCTGCTGTCGTAGCTGTGTGGATTCACATAGATGTGGTTGTTGTTCGTGGCTGCAGCAGTTGCTCCTGGTGCTGCTGCTGTTGCCCCTGTTCCTCCTGTTGCTGCTGCAGTGCTGCTGGTGTTGACCACCAAAGTGGTGTTGCTGCTGATCTCATGGTGATTGTTATTGCTGGCTTGGTTCGGATTGCTGGTGCAGCTGTTGGTGTTGCTGTTGTTGTTGATGTTGCTGCCGTTCGTGTTGCTCAGGTTGACCCTGTAAAAGCTGGTGGCTGTGCTGCTGCTGGTGGCATTATTATTGTTGTTGTTGTTGTTGTTGCTGCTGCTGCTGGAGCGTGCTGGTGCCGTGGCAGGACGCGATATCTGTGATCCCAATCCGGATCCGGATCCGGATCCAGCTGCATTAGCCTCCGTGTTGGCAGTGGATGTTGTGGTTGCTGCTGCTGCAGCTGCAACTGCTGTTGCTCTTGGGGCTTCCGCCTGCTGCTGCTGTTGCGGTTGCTCGTTGCCATTGTTGCTGCTCATAGCTGTTGCTGTTATGGGCTATTTTTTTTAGAAACGTTAACCTTTTCCAAATTAATGTTTATGACTCATTTTAAGCAATTATTGATATTAAAACACGTCTTTATTACTTTTCTTATTTAATAATTAAGGTTTAAGCTTTTGTAATTTGTGTTTTATAAATTATGTATTTATTTATTATTTGAAGTGTTTGTTTGTGGTGATTACTTTGGTGTGTTCATGAAACTTTTAAAATACTTTTTTTTTACTTTAAAATTTAATAAGCATACTGAACACTAATCATGAGGTATTTTGCTTTAATTTTTGAGTAATATTAAATGTTCCTTCAATATCACACATAACATTCAAACTTTATTTAAAAAAATTGCTTACATTTTTTATGTTTTTTAAGAAATAGTTGAAGTGTTTTTTTAGCTCATTTATATTGAACTTTCAGTTAAAAAGAACTTGCTTAGAACTTGTTGTTTTATGACATTGCTCTCGCAATTTGTAAGTTAATATTTTATTCAATTAAAATTTATATTATTAAAGTTTACTTGAATTAAATGTTTTGATTATGCCAGAATGTTTGTTTAAACATCTTTAAGAACCCCTCCTTTTACATTTCACAATTCATGTTTATTTTCTTGGATTGCGTCCAAATGGAGTTGAATGCACTGCTCCGGTTACTGGATACTGGTAAATGGTAAATGCTAAATGGTTATGGCCAGACGTTAGCTAATCGCCGAGTTTTTCCTGGCCCTTTCACGCACTTTACTCTCGCGGCACTTGAACAAAAATCACAGACGGGGGGGTCAGGAGGTCATTATGGGGGCTTATCAACACACAGTGTACACTTAAACTTGAAACACCGCCGCAGGAGGCACTCGAAAAAAATTGTTTAAAAAATGCATGCCAGTCTGGTGACGTATATTTGATTTTCTATCGAGTTTGATTCTATTGTGTTAACACACTCGGTGTTATCAGTCAGAGCCACGTGCTTAACGCGCCGCGTGTCACAATTGTATGAACTTTGTGCCGCGTTGTTGACAATGCCAAAAGCCAACAGCAGCAGCAGTAGCAGCAGCAGCAGCAGCAGAAGTGGCAGCAGCAATGCCACTAGCAACAACGAAGTTGCCCCACACGCACACACACACACACGCTCGCTAGAGGGAGAGAGCAGGACACAGGGAGAGACAGAGAGAAAGAGAGAGAGAGGTATATGTGTATAGAGAGAGAGAGGGCTCTGTTAACTGGCTTCCTGGCTGGCTGGCCGGGACAAACTATTCGCCAAAAACCAGAACCAAAAGCCAGAAACAGCTAAAAAAAAAAAAAAAAAGAACAGAAATCTAAGCCAGCAGCACTACTTGAACCCCTCACACACACACATATAAAAAAATATTATATATATATATATATCCTATATAGTATAGGCATGGCAACGATTCCTCATCGCTGTTTTCGTCGTTTCAATTTCGGCCAGTTTCGGTTCAGTTGGGTTCACTTCATTGCTTAACTTAACTAAATGCTGCAGATGGCGGCAACACACACACACACACACACACTCACTAGCGCACTTACACACTCTTATTCACACACACACACATATGCTGGCAGCCCGACTTTAACTCAACTCAACTCAACTCACAAGAACAAGAACAACAAAGGCCAAAGCTCGTGAACTCGGAGTTACGAGTGGATAGTACACAATTGTGGTTAAAATAGTAGCATAATTTTGCGGGCTTACAAAAAAAAACATTTTCCTGACGTGTTATAATGGCCAAAGGCTGTTGTTGTTGTTTAGTTTTGTAATCCCTTTATTAATTTATTTATTTTTAAATTTTTTAACAACTAAATTCCTTTATTTAAGGGCTCAAATAAAAAAATTGGGCAAAATAAGTATTTAAAACATTTCCAAATAAATGCCAAAAAAATATTTCTAACTTTTTCAGAAACAAAATGTTGATAGCTCTTATTCATTTTTTTTTTGATTCATTAGATTACAGCTTTTTTTCCTCCGCTTTTTACTTTGTGCATTTTTAGACCAAAGTGTTTTTAATCTTATCTTATCAGTTAGACCAAATAATTCTTTCCTTTAAACCTTTTTAAAAGTCCAAAATATACTGTTTTTTCAACCATTTTTTGGACAAAAGTCGATTCCAACCCATTTATCAGTCCAAAATGCACAAATAAGTTGTAGTGCTTCCATGCCGTTGCTACTATTTCAACTCCTATTATTTTGGCCGCCATTGTGCGTATGTGAATGAGTGTGAGTGCTGGTCTGACAGCCGAGGGCAACATTTCAATTCGGCTTCGTGTCGTTGTCGTTGTCGTTGCCACAGTCGCTGTCGCTGTGTTGTCGTTGTCGTTGTCGCGTTCGTCATTTTCGTAGTTTGTTTTGCTCGGTTTGTTGTTCGGTTTCGTAACTATTTCACCGTGTGTGAGTGTTCGCTGTGCGAGTGTGAGTATGTGTGCGTTAGCATGGCGATTAATGTTAATGTGTGTGCAGCAGCACCAACAATGCACAGTTAAAAAACAAGGCTAAATCATATGTAGATAAGGAACATTACTCATTTATTTGTATAGATTTCTCTGCATTAACCAACAAAATATAAAAATCAATTTATAGCTCTTAACGACAAAACCGATGGGTATAAAACTAGTTATTCAAACCATTTATTAAATTTGTAAAGATGTAATTAATCAATTAAACCAAGTAAGTAAGTACTTAATTATACAAAACAAAACTAAACCCAAACTCATTATATTTGTTCTTATGTATAAAGTCAGAATATAGATATATAATGAAAGCTGAATCTAAAAAGGTAATGAATTTCTAAGAGCTTTAACAAAATAATCTTCCTTTATAAATTTTAATATTTTTGACGGTGTAAAAGCAGCAGCTGTCTGGTAAATTGTTCCCAGCTTGGCCTCGACCAGAAAAAAAAGCGCTCAATTGAGAGCCTTCCTGTTTCGTGCAATGGCAATCATTCATACTCCTTTTTGGCAATTATTAAAGAAATGAAATATACTGCCAGAATTGGGTTTCTTCTGAGCAACCAACCAAATGTGTGTTAATTTAAATGCGAATGCCAGTTGCTCATTTCCCCAATTTCTTCCATGAATTTTTCAACACCAAACACTTGCAACTTATGGCTCGTAAGACCCAAGCACCCATTCATATTCCGAACCAAATTCAAATTCAAATTCCAATATCATTTGCCCCGCCATCAGAAAGGGAACGTCAAGGACGAAGGACAATTGTTGCCGAGTGCTGGGAATGAAATTGAATTGCATGTGCGACTGCAATTTGTCGGCGCTGGGAGCAACATTGAGCATATGACGCATACGCAATGTTGGACCGTGGATCATGGCCGACTCTTTGTGCCTTTCATATTCACCGTGCTGTTGAATTTGCTGTTGCTGTTGATTTTTCTGTTGTTGCCATGCAAATTGCCCCGGCCCAGTGTCAGTGGTTGGGCGGTCAGGGGTTAAGGGGCTGCATTTGCATGCCTGGCGACCATGTGACAAAAGCTGAACCAAACCAAGCCGACACTGAGCGAAAAATCTCAATTGAAGCGAAATATTTGCAAGGCTTTTTATGGCACAGTTTTGTGACAAAGTCACTTAAATAAGTTTAAAGTGGAATTAAATAATAATGATAAGAATATGTTCCATAGATAAATGATCTTTTTTTTGTTTGTTAAGGTAAAAAAATGTTTTTAAATGTTCGCTAAATTCAGAGAGTGTATATATTTTTGATAAATATTTTCTAAAATTGCATTTAATTTTTTTGTACTGTGAGCCCAACTTAACTCAGCTGGTGCCGGCAACCTTCATGGCTAATAAGCAGTCACGGCACGTGAGTAGAATGGCGAAAGCGTTTTTCGGGGCGGGCTACTCCAAAATATTATTGATCAAATGTTTGCCATAGCTTGTGAGAGAAAAGTGGGGAGGGGGAAGGAGGGCAGGGGAGGGCATGGTAAAAACAAACAAATAAATCCGTCAAAAAACAAACGAGTGCAGCAGATTGCATGGCAGGGAAGCTGGGGGATCTTGCCCAGCTGGAAGTCGCATGGATAAAGATAAAGATGAAAATGAAGATGAAGATGAAGGCACCCCTTCGACCAAGTCATTTGCCTCGAAGGCTGACAAAACGATTTGCATGCTAAAAATAACACAATTGATGGCCTTTTCTCTCCGCTCCCTCCGCCAACTCACACTTGAAGCAGAGTCGTGTGCGTGTGTGCTTCATAAGGCGAAAAAGAAAGTCGGAGAAATGATGTGGGGAAGTGAGGAAGCGGCGGTTGTTTTTGCGGCTAACTGGTCATGGCCACGGTGAAGGCGACAACGACAACGACAACGACAGCGACAACGACAACGACAACTAAACAAAGGCAAATCAATTAAAAAATTTTCGTGAGAAACAAAACAATACAGCAAACGGAAAATGGAAACCGAACAAAGAAAAACCAAAGACGAAAAGTGCTGGGCAAATATTTCCGCTTCACGTCAAGGTTGTGGCAATCAAAAGGCACACACCATACACCACACACCACACACAACTCAGAAAAGGACGCCAAAGAGTGCTTGATGGGATTGTTTCGTGCCGTCCAATATATCCGCTTTGCCACTTCAACTGCCAACTGCCAAACTCCCAGCAGTTGCCACCCAAATCAGAAAAAGTATTATGTGTTTACACAGCAAAAAGTATTGCAACTCCAATATTCGTGAATTTCCATGGAGCCTCATCATGGTTTTAAAATTCAGAAATATATTACAAAACTACATTATTTATTACATTATGATAAGCTAATGGTCATACTAAAACAATAAAAATCGAAAACTTTGCAAAGTACTGGTCGTAATAAATAGAATTCAAAATTGGTTTACCAAGATTTAGATTTAGTGCAAACTACATAGGTACTTCAAATGTATAACAATCGCATAGGACTTACTAAGCAAATAAATTCCATTAATAAATCCTTGGGTTATACGAAGCAAGCAATTGTTTACTGCGCTCAATTAATGTTTACTACACCATTGGGATAGTTGGGAGTCACAAATGGGTGTCACATATTTACATCATTTTAAAATTATCCTGCATGACAAACTGCTTTTGTCTGTTCCTCCATTTCGATGCGAATAATTTCGTCATTTCGAGTTTACACACAAGCCACATGCACACACATTGAAAAAATATTTGAAAAAATTAGCTAATCAAAATTCAACGAGCCGGTTTAAATAGAGTATTGAAATCTCTCGAATCTCCGCCGATTGTACAGTTGCAAATGGCGACTGTAGATCACTACCTCTTCTTCTTGTGACGCATCTCTGCTGGCGAGCGCACGTGGGGCGCTGCATGCATAATTCCAGACACCAGTTTTGTGGATTTCTTTTTTTTTTAATTTAGGGAGCGATGTGAACGGGCGCGCGCGCCATTTGAAAGTGCAACAGCGCGGCGGGTTGACATGGCCACAGCGACAGTGGGTGGTTGGGTGGTTCGGTGGCTTCAAGTCCGCCGTTTGGGTCCACAAAGACGCCAACGATCGACGGTGGCAATGTTTTCCCTACCCTTTTAAAGCGTACTTAACCTCTTTGTTTCCATTTTAAGACATTTCTGTTTAAAATTCATTTCAAATTTATTTCAGAAAGCCATTGCATATAATTAAAATAATTGTAGTTTTTTTTTATTAAAACTTATTACTTTAAAAGTATTTATGTAAAGAATTTAAGACCTTTCTGTTTAAAATTCATTTCAAATTTATTTCAGAAAGCCATTGCATATAATTAAAATAATTGTAGTTTTTTTTTTATTAAAACTTATTACTTTAAAAGTATTTATGTAAAGAATTTAAGAGAATTAGCCAATGATTTAAAAAAAAATTGTTTAGCAATAAATTTAAAATTTAAGAAAGAATTTTGAGCTGACATTAACCGAGCCATTTAATATTTAGTTACTGATCGGTTAAAGAGTGCATTTCAAGAGCCGGTCATATCAGTAGGTGTCCAGTCATGCCTTCTAATTTAATATTGTAGTATTGTATGGAAAGAGAGGTTTCTGCTGTGGA